GGGGTGGGGGGTAAAGGGATGGGGGGCCCAGTCAGGAGGCTCCTGACCAGAGATGAGGGTGACTTGGATTAGGCTGACGGCAGTGGACAGAGCTGGTGAAAGAGGCCAGGAGCTCGACGAGCTCCTGTGGGTCCAGGAGCTGGGGGTCGAGTGATCAAGGCACCCCTGGGAGCGGACTCGGTGGGCCGGGGCCCTTGCCACGAGGAGAGGGATGGGGGTGTGAGCAGGAGCCCAGCTAGCGACCGTCACAGGCTTGAGCTGGTGCCCTCCGAGGCTGGCGCCACGGCAGCCATGGTGCCAAGGACCCCAGGGCATCACCAGATGGCTCCTTTTCCTAGCAGAGGCTGGTGTCGCCCCTGGCAAATACGGCCCTGGGAAAACACTCCCTTCAGGGACAGGCTGACAGCTGCCTCTGGGAGAGCGTCCGCCTGGCTGCCAGCCTGCCGTCCCCTCTGGCACGGCCTGTTTGTGTTGCTCGCAGGGGCCGGGCCTCGCCTAATGTTTGGGGGAAACACTTGCACTTGTCACATGGGCCAGCGTGGGCCGGGAGCCCCGTGCGAAGCTGGGATTCGTCTGAGCTGGGACACCAGGCGTCGCACATGGGGGAGCCTTTGGAAATACCTGCTTTATTCTCGACCCGCTGTGGATGTGGCACCTTTGTCCTCCGTCATCGTCACAGACTTACTCCAGTCGATCTCGAGGGACGCCAGGCAGCAGCAACAGGGGTTAATTCCATGCTGCCTCAGCGAGGGCCTCATAATTCTGTTCATCCCCCGCTGTTTCCCTGTAAAAAAAGATGGCTACCTCCTTTAAACAGCTGCCGAGCGATGGTCAGGAGTGTGGGATCTGGAACCGGATGGTCCGGGTTTGGAACCCGGCTCTGCTGTTCCCGGCTGTTGCTGCTTGGACTGCGCCTCAGGTGTCTCAAGTGTGAGGTGATAACAGCTGGACCCTCCTCACAGGGTCGTGAGCACGCCCTGAGGTGGCCCTGAGGTGGCGGAGGTCACAAGCTGGGACATAGTAAGAGCTCCACCAAAGCCGGCTGTCACCCTTGATGGCAGCCTTGGGGGCGGCTTCTGAGGATTTCCTGGATTTGCGGAGGTCGGGGTGGCGGGGTGGGGGGGAGATTGCCCGGGCCAGCTGTGAGCACAAGCACAGCGTGGGGAGCGCATCGCTCTTCCCCTGCTGTTCCCGGAAGCGTCCCTTCCCCGTTCTCTAATCCACGTCCCTGTGGCCCCCAAACTACCGCCCCCCCCAGATGAAAATGTTACTTACTGTTCGTTGGTGGTTTTCTGTCAGTTAAGGGGTGGTGCCAAGCGGTTTGGAATAAACCATTCTTTGTTTAAGCCCTATCACCATGAGGGGGAGACTCTTGTATTCCATTTTATAGATGGGGAAATTGGGCAAATTTGCTTGAAACAAAGTGGTGTAAATTGCACTTGGACCCAGGAAGTCTGGTCTTAAAACGCATGCACTTGACCACCGTGCTATATACAGCACCTTCCAAGGGAGTGGCTCCCCAGTTAGGCCAGTGAGTCTGGCGAGGGGAACAGAGAAGGGTGCATTTCCCTATAGTGGCTGAGCCTTTGTCGATGAGCTCGTTGGGAATCTCGACAGGAAAGGGACATGTCGAGGGCTCATGGCTTCGGTCGGCCGGCCAGCTCCCAAAGCTTCCTTTGATTGGACAGGCCCGAGAGGAGACCCGAGCATCCCTGAAGCTCACCGTTCTGTCTTCCTCTCCAGGCTGTCCAACAATCGCATCACCTGCCGTGGGGCAGAAGCCCTCCTGAAGGCCCTGGAAAGAAATGACACTATCCTGGAAGTCTGGTAAGGCCCCCGCCCCGGGCAGGCCTCGTGACCTCTGTGGGCCTCGGTTTTCCAATCTATAAAACGGGGCAAAGGGAGAGAAGAATGTGAGAATTTCTAAGATCCCTTTTGCTCTGACATTCGGTGGCATTCTGCGTGGGATGGATCTAGTTCTTTGTCTGGGAAAGACGCCTTCACATCTCTGAGCAGGAACTAATTCTTTTATTTTTAAATCACGAGGGCTTATTCA